ATCACAAAAAAACAGAATGAGAGGAAGATAACGAAGGTCCACTCTGGCCTGCACACATACGCATACACAAATAGTGTAAATAACTATAGGCTGTGGATAAGGTATATGAACTGATTAAACCTGGGTCCCCTCTGATCCCAGGTGTTTTACCTAAGGGATGACGCCCAACGTGGGGGCCTTTTCCCCCATCATGGCGAGGGCCTAGCAGCCTGAGCGCACACCTGGGGTCTCTGCAGCCCCACGGCTTTTACCCTGACTAGCCAGCTTATAGCTTAAATGCCAACCGCATTCGCGGGGCCTCTGCCGAATCAGCAGGCAGCTAACTTCCTTGCTGTTGATTAAGATATTATGATTATGTAATTCATTTAAAAATGTAATATATAATTAGAAAACATAGGTTGTTAATGGATAATCATTGATAATAGTCAAGCTTATAGTCATGTTAGTTAGATTTTCTAGATGTGCATAGATATATTTCAAATAGGCATTCTTCATATCTTTCAAAGACTACAGAATATGACATTTTAATGTTTTAATAAGTTAAGGCTTTTCATGACAATGAGACACGTCTGTTCCTGACAGTACCAATCTACTTCAAGAAAAAGATGGGCATTAAAGAGGCTCCTATGGAGTTGGTTAGTCATTTGGGCAAGAAACTGCTCTTGCCTGGACTGTTGCATGAACTAGACACAGAGAACCCGCAGAGAAAGGACTGCTAAACTTGCCTAAAGGTGAGATGGTCTGTCGGGGTTCCTGATTCATAAAAGAGTCTGCAAGACATTCTACAGGATACAAAAAAAATGACTAAACTGTCTTTAAAATTTCCTGCTTCATGAAAATGTCTGCTGGATACTATGGTCCTGTAGGCCAAAGATGGATGCCCCAACATTACAAAAGAATTTTGGGTGACTGTCTCTGTCACCCAAAATTCTTTGTGAGATGTCTCTGTCATTTCTAGAGTTTTGGAAGTTGCTTATTTCTTGTTTGCTTAGATAATATTATATATCCTTCTGGAGTCTTTGATGGAATTAAAAAATAGTTAGTTATAGTTTTCCTTAGTTATGATAAAAGAAAATAGATATAAATATTATAACTATAATTCTTGCTTTATAACTGTTTTATTATATACAATTTTACTATGTTAAAAGCCTTTCTTTTTTGTTTAAACAGAAAAGGGGGAAATGATGGAGGAGGGTCATCTGTCTATTGTTATTTTCATTGGTTAATAAAGAGACTGCCTTGGCCTTTTTGATAGGCCAGCCCTTAGATAGGTGGAGTAGACAAAACAGAATTGTGGGAGATAGAAAGCAGAGGCAGTCAGTCGCCGTGACTCTCCTCTCCGAGATGGATGCCGGTTAGAATCCTCCCGGTAAGCCACCACCTCGTGGTGCTACACAGATTATTAGAAATGGGTTAGATCAATATGTACAAGTTAGCCAATAAGAGGCTACAGATAATGGGCCAGGCAGTGTTTAAATGAATACAGTTTCTGTGTAATTATTTTGGATAAAGCTAGCCGGGAGCCAGGTGGCGGGACACAGCCCGCCGTTCCTTTTACAAAGGAATCCTGAACCAGTGTTTCCCTTTAAAAAATAGTTCATGGCCAGCCTTGTCTAAGCTACACAGAGAAACCCTGGAGGAGAGAGAGAGAGAGAGAGAGAGAGAGAGAGGTTCTCTTTGGAGTGTTCAGTGTGAGCTCATTATAGAGCGCCTTTGACGGACACTCAAGTCCCGTTGTCTTCTTTCCCACCTAGATGAAGGAACACTTCTAAAGCTCTGTTAGTTACCTGGTGCTCTGCAGTTGGCTTAATAGCCCGTGGTTCCTATTGTGTATAGGGACTGTACCACAAAATAGTAAGAGGGCAAAATGATGGGCTCTGTGGGCAAGAAAAAGCTCTCTTGATGAGAGCATATGTGAATATTCAGTGTTTTATTTATATTAACTTCATTTGTTTTTGGAAACAGTTTCTGTGTAGCCGTGGCTGTTATGTAAATTGCTCTGTAGACTAGGCTGGCCTCACACTCTGTTTGCCTCTAACCCCACCCCCCAGTGCTGGAATTAAAGGCATACACCACCACCACTCTACTAATTATAAGCTTATTTAAACAGTAAAATTTGAAGGAAAAAAAAAAGCTTCCTGGTATAATAGGTATAATACAATCCCTGATACACAAAGATGCATAATTATATGGAAAATTTAAAGTACATGTGGTCTCGACCATGAAGAAGATGGGTTCTACAGCTTAAGAGCCTGGGATCTGGCGTGGTCTCTGAATAAGAGAGCATAGAGGTCAGCAGGCTAAAGTACATGTACCATCTCCCCTAAAGATGGGTTCTATTGACTGAAAAATCTAAAATAAAGGTCTAAGGAGGGAGATTCTGGGATAACGTTCTGGGGTATTTGGGTGAGGTTCTCAACCTTCCCACTGCTGCGACCCTTTAATATTCCTCATGTTGTGCTGACCCCAACCATAAAATTATTTTCATTGCTTCATAACTGGAATTTTTACTACTGTTATGAATTATAATGTATTTTCCAATGGACTTAGGCAACCCCTGTGAAAGGGTCTTTCGACCAGTAGGTTGAGAATCACTGCTTTACAGATAACAAAGGTCACTATGTCATTAACAACATCCACTTCCAGCTGAGTGGAAAATTAGGTATTTATTTCCTCCTTTGAGGAGACACCCATGCATGACTAACATTCCTGTTTCTCCGGTGTTTGTGAGCAGGAGGACCAAATGCCCTCGACAAAGTTGTGTGTGTGTGTGTGTGTGTGTGTGTGTGTGTGTAGGCATGTGTGGCCATGGTGCATTTGTAGAGGTCAGAGGGCAGCTTGTGAGAGTCAGTTCTGTGGGTTCCAGGGACCAAACCCAGGTCAAGCTTTGTGGGAAGCACCTCAATCCACTGAGACATTTGACTGGCCCTCCATATCTTAAAAAAAGGTTTGTATGTGTGTATGTGTGCATTGCAGGTGCCTGCCTTGACCAGAAGAGTGTCAGCTCTCTGGAACTGAAGTTCCAGGCATTTGTGAGTCACTTGACGTAAGTGCTGGAAACTGATCTCTTCCTCTAAGAGAACAGTAAGTATTGTTAACTACTGAGCCATCTCTCTAGTCCTTATTTTTATTCTTTAAATTTTATTATTTTTATTATCTTCTATGTAGGCTTTGTCTGCAGGTATGTATGGTGCCACCCATGTGCCTGGTGACACAATAGCATCAATAGGTCTCTTGAGACTGAAGTTCCATATGGTTGGGTGATGCCACATGGGTGCTGAGAACCAAACCTGAGTCTTCTGCAAGAGCAACCAGTGCTCTTAACTGAGGAGTCAACTCTCCAGCCCTACTTTTTTATTTTTAAATCCTGTGTGTGTCTGTTTGTGTCTGGACAGGGGGACCATACATATGTCTATGAAGGCCAGAAGAGGACAGGATCCAATGAGTCACCGGATGTGGGTGTTGAGAACTGAACTAGCTCAGAACAGTACACAGTCTTAACTACTAGCCGTTTCTCCAGCCCATAATAATGCATTTTCAACTGCACTTAGGAGGCAGAGGCAGGCAGATTTCTGTTAATTCCAGGCTGACCTGGTCTACAAAGTAAGTTCTAGGCTACCAGAGCTGTTACACAGAGAAATTGTCTGAGAGAGAGAGAGAGAGAGACAGACAGACAGACAGACAGACAGACATACAGACAGACACCTTTTGGAGGCTAGAGAGCTGACTTGGTGGTTAAGAGCATGGGCTGCTCTTACAGAGGACCCAGGGTCTATACCCAGCACCCACAACAGGCAGCTCACAACTATGTGTTTCTCCATCACTGGCACCTGGATGAACTTGATGTCTACACACATGCACATGCTTGCCTGTGTGCAAACATGCACATGCGTGTGCACGCACGCGTGCGCACACACACACACACTATTAAAAAAAAGCTCAAAGAATCTGAAGTTTCATCTGAAAAAAGAGTCAGGTGGGATTCCAACTGTGACACTTGCCGTCTGTCGATAGGCATTCAGGTGGTTTGGGAGAAATGTTGAATTCAGATGCCTTTGGATCAGTCAGCCCCTAATATAGACAGTGGATAAAATACAATACCTGCTGATTTTCTTGACATTTACTTCCACCATAAATGCCTATGGAAATGGTAGTGAGTGACCATTGATGGCAGTTGTATGCAAATGCTTAGAACCAGGCGTGGTTGCACTTAACTAAAATGCCATCACTTGGGAGGCAGAGGAAGGAGGATTGCCACTAATTTGAGGACGGCCTGGGTTACATATTGAGCTCCAAGCCAGTGGGAGCTATGCAATAGTCTCTATCTAAAAAGAATAAGATAAAATATTTTAGAATTTATTAATGTGCATAAGAACTTTTGAAAGGAAACAAAAACTGATAATTCTGTATTTTGAAAATTCAAAACTGATGGGAAATAAGGGAAAGTTTTGCGTTTTTTGTACTCTGGAACTGTAAAATTTGTAGTTTGAAACAAATTCTTTGGTAAGAAAAACTTTAAATAATAGTAGAGGGGGAAATACGGTAAACCCGTGGAGATCTTAAGAAATGAAATTTAAGTAAACTCAAAAAACTGACGAGGTCAGGCTGGTGGGTGGCTCATGCCTGTAATTCCAGCACTCTGGAGGCAGAGGCAGGAGGATCACTCTAACTTTGAAGTCAGCTTGGTTGCTACACCGAACTCCAGACCAGCCAGGCGACATAGGGAAATCTTGTCACAGAAAAACCAGAGGCAGGTAAGATTTCTGAGTTCGAGACCAGCTAGGTCTACATAGTGAGTTCCAGGGCTACAGAGTAAGACCCTACCTTTAAGGAAAAGAAACAAACCCGAATGAACAAATCCCAGAAGCAGGAGAGTCCGGCCCCCCCCCACCACACCCTCCTTCTGGCCCCGCCCACCATTCCGCCCCCGCGTCTGTGACCCCGCCCCCTGACTCGGGAGCGCTTGGCCGCCATTTCCGCGTTTCAGGCCTGAAGGAGCGCGTCACACACGCCCACACGCACGCGCCGCCCACATCCAGCTTGCGAATCCGGAGGCAACCAGTCCAGATAATGCCCCGGAAGACAGCCAGTGAGGAGGAGGAGGAGGAGGCGGCGGCCGGGGAGCCGGGCCCTGGGGAGATGGAGGCCGGGCGGCAGCGGCCGGTGTTGCGCTCGGTGAACTCGCGCGAGCCCTCTCAGGTCATCTTCTGCAACCGCAGCCCGCGCGTCGTGCTGCCCTTCTGGCTCAACTTCGACGGCGAGCCTCAGCCCTACCCGACGCTGCCACCGGGCACCGGGCGCCGTATCCACAGCTACCGAGGTACGAACGCGCGCTAGGCCGCAGGTGCGATCACAGGCCCGGCGCGTTCCTTCCAGCCCCGAGCACTTAGTTCCTACCCACTGCATCTACCCCGAGAAATGCCCGGTCCCAACTGTCTTTTCGGCCGCGATGTCCCCAGTTCCCGGTCTGGTTCTGCATCCGAAGCCTTGACTTCGTGGTGACAACCCGGAGGGGCATGAACAGACACGAGCCAGCCGGTGTCATAATCGCTGCGATGGGAACCGGGTTCAGAGGGTTGTGAAAGCGTGGGCAGAGTACGGGTGCATCCAGGTAAGGAGCTCGCCTCCCAGAAGAAAGGGAGTAAAGAGAGTCAGCCCAGGGAGGGAGTCAGCGCTTGTAGTTGGAGGGTCGCCTATGGCATCCACTGGCGTCTTGGCTCAACACTAGTGAGTATAGAATATTGGATTGAATTCCTGATCCTGCTGCCTCCGCCGCTGAGTGTCATAATTTCAGGTTTGTACCTAGTCTGACTGTGTGCTTTTATTAACGGTATCACCAGGGCTGGAGAGATGGCTCAGAGGTTAAGAGCACTGGCTGCTCTTCCAGAGGTCCTTAGTTCAAGTCCCAGCAGCCCCATGAGATCCGGTTCCCTCTTAACTAGTGTGCAGGCAAAACACTGTATACATGATAACTAATAATAATTTAAAAAATTACCAATAATGGAGAAAAGTTCTTTCAAGGCCCTGCCTAAATGGTTATGAAGAACAAGCATAGCTGCTCGTGTGTAAAATCCCAAGACTCAGACAGCTGAGTCAACTGCCCCAGGCCTTTTTGCTTGCTTGCTAAATAGGGGGCGAAAAAATTCCAAAGGTTATATTAGTACTAGAGAAATAGGGCTGTGTGTGACATTGCCATATTTATATATTGAAAAACATACCCAGGTCTGGGTGTGGTAGTCCAGGACTCAGGGGGCCGAGACAGGAGGATTTCAGTGAGTTTGAGGCCTATGTGGCAAGATTGCATCTGAAACAAACAAAAAGACAACCGTGTGATGTGGAATTTGTAGACCAGGCTGGCCTTTCACTCAGAGAGATTTTCCTTCCTCTGCCGTCTGAGTACCAGAAGTAAAGTAAAAACCTTTGTCACCAAGCCCAGCTCATACTACTCTTGCCGAGCTTGGCTTCCAACCCCTGTGTCCGGCAATTCACAAGTTCCTGTAACTCCAGCTCCAGGGATCCCATGCCCTAAACGCCTGCGCTCACTTGAAAAAAGAAAACATAATTTTGACCAAGCAAACTGGTGGTTTGAATTGGAATAGCCCCATGTATTTGAATGCTTAGGGAGTGGCTCTATTTGACAGGATTAGTAGGTGCGGCCTTGTTGGAGGAAGTATGTCACTGGGGGTGGGGTTTAAGGTTTTAGAAGCCCAAGCCAGGCCCAAAGTCTGTTTCTCTGCCTGCTGCCAATAGATGTAGGACTCTCAGTTTCTTCTCCAGTGCCATATCAGCCTGGGTGCCTGCATGCTTCCCACCATGCTGATGATGGACTAAAACCTCTGAAACTGTAAACCAGCCCCAATGAAATGTTTTCATTTGTAAGAGTCGCTGTCGTCTTGTTTCTTCACAGCTGCAGAACATTGAGACACAAACAGAACAACTGGGGCAGTCCTCTTGCCTCAACCTCTAGAGTCCTAGGATTGCACATGTGAACAGAATCATTTACTTTTTGTAACCATCAGGGAGGCTCTTGAGAGTTCTTTCTCCTGATGGTGGTATATCTAATGAGTCAATGCAGTTAGGCACCATACTACAAACTCAAAGTAGCTTTGAGAACAGGGTGGAGGCAGGATGATCAGGAGTTGACACCAATTTGGGCTACGTGATATCCTGACTAAACAAAACAATAAGAAATAAACTGGGGCTGGAGAGATGGCTCAGCGGTTAAGAGAACTAACTGTTCTCTTAGAGGACCCAAGTTCAGTTCCCAGCACCCACATGACAGCTTACAACTGTCTGTAACTCCAAGATCAGACACCCTCACACAGACATACATTCATACCAATGCACATAAAATAAAAATAAATTAGAAAATAATGAAGTAAACTAATGCGTCTCAATTTTATATTTTGACATATAGAGGAGAAAGAAATCTATCTTTCTTTCTTTCTTTTTCTTTCTTTTTTTTCCCCCCAAGATAGTGTTTCTGTAGCTTTGGATCCTGTCCTCGCTCTGTAGACCAGACTGACCTTGAATTTGCAGAGATCCATCTGTCTCTGCCTCCCAAGTGCTGATAATAAAGGCATGTGCCACCACCCAGCCGAAAAGAAATTTCTTACATATTTGGAGACATATAGCACAATATTTTTTTTAGTGCTAGTGATGGAACCCAGGACTTGGACATGATAGGTAAGCATTCTGTCAAGTTCTGTCTGGGTGTTCCCGTGAGGGTGTGTCTGTACCATGTGTATGATATGCCTATAGAGGCCAGACAAGGGACTTTGGTCCCCAGAAACTCTAGTTACAAAGGATGGACACTATGGGTTCTGGAAACCAAATCTGGGTCCTCTACAAGAACAAGTGCTCTTAACCACTGAGCCGTCATCTCTCCAGCCCCTACTTGTTTGTTTGTTTATTTGTTTGTTTGAACAGGGCCTCAGCATGTAGCAGTTTGTCTTTTATACCAAACTTCTAATGTTTGATGAGGAAGAACACAAAAGGAATTAAAATTTCTTTAGTCTGCTATTTTACATAGAAACTTGGGTTAATTTTGTTTTCTCCAAGATTTCTCTGTGCCAGTTTTTAAAATTTTTGTATTTTGGGTTGGTGACTGCTAGGAATTGAACCTAGGACCTCACTCATGCTATGCAACTACTGTACTATTGTGTAGTCATGTGCCTAATTTTATATAAAAATTAAGACAGGCATGATACTGCATGTCTGCAATGCCAGTGTTAATGAGACTGAGACAGTAGGATTACCATGAGTTTGGAACTAGTCTCAGCTACACAGTGAGACCCTGTCTCAAAAAAAGCTTTAATCGGTTTGAACTGTGTTTCTAGTTAGTACTAATGCACTAACTAGTAGGTGGGAGGCCTGGAGTTCAATCTCCAGCAAAACAAAATGTCCACTAAGTCTTCAAGGAAGTTTGTGTCCCATGAAAGATCATTCTGAGTTAGTCTTCCTCTGAAACATTCTACTTGGAGTTTTTTGTTTTTTTTTTTTTAGATTTATTTATTTATTTATTAAATATTTATTTATTTATTATGTATACAATATTCTGTCTGTGTGTATGCCTGCAGGCCAGAAGAGGGCACCAGACCTCATTACAGATGGTTGTGAGCCACCATGTGGTTGCTGGGAATTGAGCTCAGGACCTTTGGAAGAGCAGGCAATGCTCTTAACCTCCAAGCCATCTTGCCAGCCCCGATTTATTTATTACTTATACAGTGTTCTGCCTGCTTGTAACTGCACACCAGAAGAGGGCACCAAATCTCATTATAGATGGTTGTGAGCCACCATGTGGTTGCTGGGAATTGAACTCAGAACCTCTGAAAGAGCAGGCAATGCTCTTAACCTCTGAGCCATCTTTCCAGCCCCACTCCTGCCCCAAACAGTCTTATCTCTGAGGTTTGCCTCTTGTATCCTCTTTCTAAAAATGAAGGTATAATTTATGCTAGGCTTTGAGAGTTTTTGGCAGTTGCAGCAACACCTAGGTAAACTTAGAGATGAGAACTTTTCTGTCACCACACGAGGATCCTTCCCTGCTCTTGTCACTCAGCCCCTTCCCTCTCAGAGTCAAGCGCTTGTCCCCTTTTCACAGTATACATTAGTTTGCCTATTCTTAGTTATGAGTCCTATGGCCTTTTGTTTTTTGTTTTTTTTGAGACAAGGTTTCCCTATATAGCCTTGGCTGTCCTGGAATTTCCTCTATAGACTAGGCAGGACTCAAACTCACAGAGATCTGCCTGCCTCTGCCTCCTCCTGAGTATTGGGATTAAAGGTGTGCACCACCCCCACCTGGCCCCGTCTGTGTTCTCTGCTTTTACACCTCCCAGGCTGGAGACCCAGTGGCCTTTCACATCTTGCAGTGTGTGGTGAGATTGCCAGTGCTTCCTTGCCCAACTGCATGTACTTTCCCTCCATGTTTGCAGAGCCCAGGCCCTTTCTTTCTGCTTTCTGTCTTTTGTTTCCAGCACGTCCGCTCCCTTCAGCCCTGCTTTCTCATGCATAAGGGACAGTCCTGAGGAGCTCTGTTCTCAAGCTCCTCTTTTCGAAAGGCTTTGTTGTAACCTTAAGCAGAGTGAAAGGCAAGTGTTTTGTATGGTTTGGGGCAATTAATAAACAAGTGCCTTACTCAGACCAATGTGACTTCATAACACCCTCTGCTTGTGTTGACAGGTCATCTTTGGCTCTTCAGGGATGCGGGGACGCATGATGGACTTCTGGTTAACCAAACAGAACTGTTTGTGCCATCCCTCAATGTGGATGGACAGCCTATTTTTGCTAACATCACACTGCCAGGTTGATAATCTTATGTCGTTTTTATAGCTTTCTACCCAGGTTGCCCTGGAACTATATAGCTCATACTGACTTAGAATTTAGAGAAATGTTCTTGCTTCAGCTTCTCAAGTGCTGGTATTATAGGCCTGAATCACCACATGGGCTCAGTCTTTGAAAAAGATAAGGGTGAGCATTGTAATGACTAGAAGAAGATAGGTCACTGGAGGGTCCTGGAGGTAGGCAGGGTATCTAGTCTTTTTGCAGGTAGGGCTTGGTTTTTCAAGACAAGGTTTCTCTGTGTAACAGTCCTGGCTGTCTTGGAACTCGCTTTTTAGACCAGGTCAGAGATTTGCCTGCCTCCCGACTGTTGGAATCAAAGGTGCACACTACCCCACCTGGCTGGGATCTAGCCTTTTTATGTTATCTTTTACCATAGATGAAATGGAAGTATTTCATTTCTCTGTCCTGTGTTAAGCAAAGATGTTGTGTCTCAGAAGCACTTTGGGCTCCTAAGAAGTTGGCGACGCCAAGGTATCTCTTTGTAGGACTATGATACCCTTTGGTTCCTTGGTCTTATAGCAGACTTGTGCTCTGGAATCCCAGAACAAAGGGAGAGTAAGATAGAACCCTGTGATCCCAGCTACTCAGGAGGTTAGGGCAAGAGGATCACAAGTTCAAGGCCAGCCTACAGAACAAATTTAAGGCTAGTCTGAGCCACTTTCTGAGACCCATTTCTCTAAATGGGAAGTAAAGAGAATTCTGGAACTGGGTCTGATGGTCATGCCCTTAATCCCAGCACTTGGGAGTCAGAGGCAGGTGGATCTCAGTTCCAGCAGCCTGGTCTACATAAGATTCCAGGACAGCCAGAGCTACATGATAAGAGCCATATTCGGGGCAGAAACCAAACAACAACAAAAAAAGGTATAATCAGAAAAGAGACTTGAGCCAGGTGGTGGTTGGCACATGTCTTTAATCCTAGCTCTTGGGAGGCAGAGGCAGGTGGATATCTGTGAGTTTGAGGCCAGTCTGGTCTACAAGAACTAGTTCCAGGACAGACTCCAAAGCTACAGCAAAACCCTGTATTGAAAAGCAAAAAAAAAAAAAAAGAAAGTAAAGAGACTTGTGAAGTGTTAAATTTTGCCTTATATGGAAGTGAGTTCCCTGGTGACTTTTATTACTTTTACTGTTATTATTGTGACCTTTTTTTTTGAGAGAGAGAGGATCACATGTTTCCCAGGCTGACCTCAAACTCATTATGTAGCTGAGGTTGACCTTGAACTCCTAATCTTCCTGCTGGAATTACAGGCATATACAACCATGCCTAGTTTTATGTGGCACTGGGGATCAATCTTAGAGGTTTGTGTACTCTTTGACTGAGCTAGATCTCTTGGTCCATTGTGAGTGTGCTTGCTTGCGCAGGTATATCATATATTATGGGTGTAGAGGGCAGAGGCCAACCTCAGATGTTATTCCTCTAATTGTCTACCTTAATTTTTGAGGCAGGGAATTTCATTGTCCTGGGACTCACTGATAAGGCTAGAGCTGCTGGCCAGTGAGCCCCTGGGTGACTTCTTTCTGCTGCCCCAGCACTGGGATTATAAGCATGTGCCACCATTCCTGGCTTTTAACACGGATTTTAGGAATCCAATTTAGGCCCTTGAGTTTGCACAGTGAGCACTTTCCTGTGTCCCTAGCTTCCCCCACCCCCCCAGGCGGTGTCTCACTGTAGCCACAGCCATCCTGATACTTGCTTACAGAGATTTGCCTGTGTCTGCCTCCTGAGTGCTTGGGTCACAGGTATAGACTTGATCTCTTTCAACTTATTGAAAAAGGTTTTGTTCTGTAGCCCTGGCAGAACAGGAACTCTATATGACAACCAAACTTCCATCATCCTGAGTGCTAGAATTATAGGCATGTACCATCATGCCTGATTTATTATGATATTTTAATTTTTGTTTATTTAATTTATTTGAGACAAGGTCTTGCCCCAGCCTCCTGAGTGCTGTGGTTACATGTATGAGTCACTCTGCCCAGCTCCCAGTGAGTTCAAATAGCAGGGGTGGCCCTACATCCAGGTTCACACTGTTTTGGTTATCTGTTGCCATGTGACACTCACTCCCAAACTAACAAGACCCATTATTTTTGTTAAATTTTCCAGTCTGAGCTTGGCCAGGTTATTTTGCTTCCAGTTAGGACCTGATGCAGCTGTCTCCTATTGGTAGTTGCCTAAAGCTGGGTCTCTTAAATGACTTCTTAAGGCCTTGTCCCTCTTGGTGCAATTTCTCCACCAGAGTAGCTCAGAGCTCCTAAGAATGGACAGACATTGCTGGACCTGCTTAAAGCTTAGGCCCTAAGTTACCAGGATCACTTCACATTTGGTTAATTGAAAAAAAACGTTGGGCCACTTTGATGAGCCAGCTGTGAGCACTGTGAGACCTGCTGACGTGACACTATCACGTGTTCTCTGCTTTTTATTTTACCCTACAGTGAGATTCACAAGGTCAATGTAGTTAGTGGTGGTAGTAGTGTCTGGCTCACATGTCTCCAGTCTGCCTCTGAGGGCTTGGTTTCCTGTCCTTGCAGTGTATACCCTGAAAGAGCGGTGCCTTCAGGTTGTGCGAAGCCTGGTCAAGCCCGAGAACTACAGGAGACTGGACATCGTCAGGTCGCTCTATGAAGATTTGGAAGACCACCCAAATGTGCAGAAAGATATAGAGCGGCTGACACAAGAGCGCTTTGAAAATCAGACCCTGGGAGAAGAGCCTGAGGAAATCCATTGAGATTAGTGGTCCTGAATTCCAGCTTTGATTCTGAGTCGTCACCCACACATAGGACAGGTCACTTGCTTTCCATTGTAAAATGTTTCATTCTCGGAGTAAAACTCCGTTACATAAAAGAAAGTTAACTAACGTCACTGGGCTTTGTGGTGCTTAAGGATAAACATCACAAAATGCCACTGAATCAGCCCTTTCTAGAAGCACTCATCAGAAGGGTTTTCATTTTGCTTCCTGGTAAGTTGGGAAGTTCTGTGTAAAGATGTTTGCGTAAGCTGCGGTTGCAGTGTGTCCTTAATTTGGAAAATGCAGTGACATTTGAACAGAGGGCACCTGCCTTCTGCTTTGGGAAGGCTGAGAAGGCCCCAGGGCGGGGACGGAGTTCTTTGAGGCCCAGTGCCTGATGTGTCAGGAGCCTTCAGTCTGGACTGTTGGATGAACAGCCCATTGGGTACTTGGTGGAAGAGTCTGGAGGGTCTGTCTGAGGAAAGCCTTAAGTGTACAAGGAGAGGAACAACTTAGCATCCTGTGTTTAGACAGAACTTTTTCTAATATTCCATGTCACCTCACTTTTGTTGTTGTTGTTTATTTTTTTTAACTTTTTTGAAACCGTGTTTCGTGTAGCCCAGGGTAGTCTCAGTCACTCAATAGGGGGTGCTAGCCCTGTACTTGTGATCCTCCTGTGTCCCTTGCCGCAGTGTTGGGAGCACATGTGTGCACCCTGGCCTGCTCTGCCCTTTTCTCATTTGGAAACGGGGTCTCCCACTGCAGTTCAGCCTCCTGATCCATGCTGGCAGCACTCTTGTTTGTGAGCCAGGTAGGCGTCCCATGGTCACTGTCACGGGTGTTTTTGTGACTTGCTATCAACACAGACAGTAGAAAAGAGCAGTCCTTGTGTTTAATTCTGGTTGTGAAGATCCTCTGTCTGTGGGGAAGCTGCTGCCAGGAATGGGAATTGCCATTGCTGTCAACCCCTGGCATTCCAGCTGGTCTCTGCATTTTCAACTGGCAGGACCTGGTCACACTTGGATTTGGGGGTGGGTGGTGGGCAGGGAGGAGAGAAGAGGGAGGCTGTTTTTGAAGCTGCACTGAGCCACGCCCTCCCAGTAATGGATCACAAAGTACACAGTTTTATGGATGGTTACATCCTTTCTTATGTATTAAAATATTCATATTCATTACTTCTGTGAGACATTTTTGAAAGACATATTTTTGTTTGTTTTTAATTTCTCTAGTAGAGAAAAATTAGAGAAGGCTGGGTATGACTGCACACACCAGAAAAGACAGTCAGCTGAAAGGAAAAAGACAGGCCCTGTGCACTCTCAGCTTCCTGTAACCACTTAACGGGGCTCTCTTTGCAGGGCATGGTTTGATTGCTTCAAGCAGTTTGTCATAACTGAGATCATAGGGGATGTACAGTTTTATAACCTGAGTTTTCATTTAACTTCATTTTTCCCTTTCTTTTTTGTTTCTTTGTTTGTTTTGCTTTTTTGAGACAGGATTTCTCTTTGTAGTCCTAGCTGTCCTAGAACTTGATTTGTAGACCAGGCTGGCCTCAAATTCAGAGACCGCCTGCCTCTACCACCCAGGTGCTGGGATTACAGGCATGCACTAGTTAACTAGAAGTTAACTCCTAAATTAACTTCCCCATGTTACTCTGAGCACTCTGTGAACCCCACTGTGCTATGCTCCTCCTTTGCGGATGACAGTGGGAGTGTTGGTTGGCATCCTGGTCTCCTTGAGTACAGTCTGGTGCCCTTAAGATCAGCAAAGTGAGCATTTGCCACCACCCTGTCACTCCTTAGTCAACAGCGTTCCATGAGTGACGTAGCCACATGCCAAGTGTAGAGGGTGCCCACGTTTGGAAAGTCTGCAGGTGCTGAAGTGTGACAGCGTTGGTTTTATGTTTTTAAACCTATCTTTGTCTCAAAAAGATCTTCTGTTTGTCTTATTAAACTGGAAATTTGAATACTGTTCTCTGTGCTGTCCAAAGCATGAGTCACGTGTGCTCTTCCTTTGGCGTCCTGTAAATGTTTTCTTCAGACTTGGATGTTTTCTATCTTGAGTTTTCTGAAAAAGCTGACATTTAGTACAATAAACGGTGCTCAGTGAAGGAAGCGAGTGTGCTGTGTTGTGTCATTTTTAATAGGGCTCTTCCTTCCCTGTGGGGCTGAGATGTCTGCCCCACAGACATCTGTGGTGGGGGGGGGCAAGAAGCAAGGCCTCCCTTTCGTTTAGTCTCCTTTTCCAGCCTTAGGTTCCTTTTTAATTTAGCATTGTTTCTTCTAGCCTCCCAGTATCTCTGTAGAGGCATTTAAAGCCTGAGGAAGATGCTGGTGAGATGTTCATGTAGGTGTGGTGGCCGACTCTGTTACCCCAGAACTCTGCAAGTGGAGGCATTTGGATCAGGAGACGGAGGTCGTCCTGTGTTACATAGTGAGAGTTCCGGGCTGAGCTGAGCTTTTAGAAACCTCTCAAAGGAACAACTGTGCTGGAGAGAGGGCTCAGCAGTTATGAGCACTTGCTGTTCTTTCAGGGGACAGCACCTGAGTTGGGGGGGCTCACAGCTTTAGTTTAAACAGCCAACTTTAATTCCAGGGGATCTAATGTTTCTGGCCCCAAAGTCACCTGCAGGCTTGTGCACATACCCACATGTAGACACGCACAACTAATCTTTAAAAATAATTCATATTGAGAACAGATTTTTAACCTACAAAACAAGAAGTGAGTGATCTCACATTTTCACAGGCAGTCAACACTGAAAACCGAGCAGTGCACCAGAAAGACATAAAATAGGAGTATGTCTCAGGGGTGAGCATGTCTGAGGCCCTGGGTTTGGTCCCCAGCACTGCATGTACACACACACATGCGCACAGACACACACAGCACCTCAGTTCAGTTTTATGCTGGTCACTGCCCTGCCTGAAACTCCAGTGGAGTGCCTGAGCCCCTGGCTTCAGTCACTCGCCTGCTTCAGCCATCACTATACACACTCTTGATAGTTCAATGGCTGATATGCTGGCTAGTTTTATTTATTGTTTTTGTTTTTGAGACAGGGTTTCTCTGTGTAACAGTTCTGGCTGTCTTGTGACTTGCCTTGTAGACCAGGCTAGCCTTGATCTGTTTAAAGATCCACCTGCCTCTGCCTCTCAAGTGCTGAGATTAAAAGTGTGTACCACGACTGCCGGGCTGCAGCTAGTTTTTAACTTACACAAACATGGGAAGATAGAAACTTCATCGAGAAAGTGCCTCCGTAGGATTGGTCTTCAGGGCATTTTTTTAGTTGATTGATGTAAGAGGGCTAGACCCACTGTAGACAGTGCCAGCCCAGGGCTGCTTGTCCAGAGTACTGTGATAAAGCAGGCTGAACACACCAGTAAGCAGCCCTCCTCCACGGCCTCTGCTTCAGTTCCTGCCTCTAAGTTCCTGACTGTTGTGGAACTGTAAGCTGAAATAAACCCTTCCTTTCCTAGGTTGCTTTTGGTCATGGTGTTTATTATCAATAGAAACCTAAGACAGTAGAGCACAGAAAAATTAGATATGAGGTTTAAGGTGGTCATCAAAAAAGGTGAACAATAGCACTGAATTATAAGAAAAAGCCAAAACTAGTTTCTAAATTAGAAACCAATCCTTAGTAGCATATAGATGCCTGACCTTAAGTGGAAGACAGGAAACTTGCAAGTAGGGGAAATTAAGATGGGTCTGGAAACTGACCCCACAGATACTACTAATCAGATCCTAACACTCAGGAGGTAGAGGCAAACAGATCTCTGGTCTACAGAACAAGTTCCAGGACAACCAAGGCTATACAGAGAAACCCTGTCTCTCGAAAAACAAACAAAAGAGCTTAGATTCCTCAGGCCCAGGGAAGCCTCGGGGGACAACTTTATGGTAAGTGTGGGAGAATTTTATCTGGGCAAAGAATACCTCTCAACAACTCACCTGCAGGGAAGTGGCATTCCTTATTTATTTATTTATTTATTTATTTATTATGTATACAATATTCTGTCTGTGTGTATGCCTACAGGCCAGAAGAGAGCACCAGACCTCATTACAGATGGTTGTGAGCCACCATGTGGTTGCTGGGAATTGAACTCAGGACCTTTGGAAGAGCAGGCAATGCTCTTAACCTCCAAGCCATCTTGCCAGCCCCGATTTATTTATTACTTATACAGTGTTCTGCCTGCTTGTACCTGTACACCAGAAGAGGGCACCAAATCTCATTATAGATGGTTGTGAGCCACCATGTGGTTGCTGGGAATTGAACTCATGATCTTTGGAAGAGCAGGCAATGCTCTTAACCTCTGAGCCATCTCTCCAGCCCGGAAGTGGCATTTTTTAGTTGGAGCAGGGTCCTGGCTTTTAATATACTTCTGTTTTAAATTGTGTGTGTACATATGAGTGCAGTGACTGTGGATGTCAGCAGAGGGCATCAGATTCTCTGGAACTGGAGTTCCAGTCACTTGTGATCTGCCTGCAGTTCTCTGTAAGAGTAGCTTATGCTCTTAACTGAGCCATGTCTCCAGGACCAAGAGTGTTCTCCTTAATTTCTAAACCCAACTTCAGAACACTGAGAACTTAATGAAGTTACCCAGGGCTTAGAAGAGGTGAGGGATATGTAGGCACAAATCACACATCAGCAGCCCTAGCAAGCACATCTTTAATCCCAGCACTTGGGAGGTAGAGGCAGGCAAATCTCTGAAGTCAAGGCCAGCCTGGTGTACAGAACAAGATCCAGGATAATCAGGGCTACATAGAGAAACACTGTATCGAAAAGCCAAAAATAAAGTTTTTGTCACATTTACTTACTTGTGTCTGTGTGCATGTGAGAGAACATGTGGAGTCATACAACTTGGGAGTCAGCACTCTCCTGACATGTGGGTCCCAAGGATTGAAGAGAAGTCAAACAGTATTTTCATCTCCCCCCCCCCTCTCTGTGTGTGTGTGTGTGTGTGTGTGTGTGTGTTGGTTGGTGAGTGGTTCCTGGGGTTTGAGCCCAAGGTCTTGGTCATGCTAGTTAAGTGCTGACTTGGCAGATGGGCTACAGTCTTAGCCTTACTTCATTTTGAGACAGGATCTTGCTGAATTTCCCTGATGGCTTCACACTTTTCCATCCCTCTACCTCAGCCTCCCAGGTACCTAGGACTACAGGTGAGTTCCATCACACCAGGCCTGGGTGCATATTTTCTGTCTCAATTCTCATTCTTCTCTTCAGCTTTAGACAGACATTGTTCAGGTTTTTTATTTGTTTCTTATTTTGAATTTTAGGTTAACATTCAAATACCAGTTTTGTTTGCTTGAATTTACTTATATTTTTGTTTTACATGTATTGATGTTTTGTATGTCTATGTGAGGATATTGGATCCTCTGGAACTGGAGTTGCAGACAGTTGTGAGCTGCCTTGTGGGTGCTGGGAATTGACCTCTGAGTCATCTTCCTAGCCCCTTGTTTCGCTTTTCTAAACTCTGGTGAACTATTAACCCTATGATCAAAAGCTACACGTATACTGGTTCATAAATATTTACATGAATTGGGAAGTTGAACAAGTTTTGTGCCTGAGCAAGCTGTCGAAAGGACCCCCAGCATCATGCTTCAAAGACTGGAGAGCATGCAGTGAAATAATCTTCCTGGAGGACAGAGGGTGTCCTCCCTCTTTTATTCCTGGAGGGAATGTGAGATGGGCTCTTTTATTCCTGGAGGACAGAGGGTGGGATCCATCACAATGTGAGATGGGCTCTTTTTATTCCACAAAATCTAACTAATTTAGGAAGATAAACTGAGCAAGAGAATACTTGCCTAGTATGCCCAGGGTCTGGCTTTGATCCCCAGCAGCACAGAGAAATAAGGTTCAAAACAATGAACTAAAGATTGCCGTGGAGGCCCATGCCTTTCATCCCGTCACTGGGAAGGCAGAGCCAGGCAGATCTCTGAATTCCGGGACATCCTGATCTACAGAGTGAGTAGAGAGCAAGGGCTACACAGAGAAATAAAAGTAAGTTTTAAAATGAACTTTAAGTTTTTATATTTTATTTTGTGTGTACAAGTGGTTTTTGTTTGTTTTATTGTTTTTTTAAAGTGAATTTACAGTTGCACCACCTACTATTTATTTATTTATTTATTTATTTATTTATTGTGTATACAGTGTTCTGTCTGACTGTATACCTGCAGGCCAGAAGAGGGCACCAGATCTCATCACAGATGGCTATGAGCCACCATGTGGTTGCTGGGAATTGAACTCAGGACCTCTGGAAGAGCAGTCAGTGTTCTTAACCTCTGAGCCATCTCTCCAGTCCCTGGTTTATTTTTTTGTTTGTTTGTTTATTTTTGTTGTTGTTGTTTTTTGTTTTTCTGAGATGGTTTCTCTGTGTAACAGTCCTGGATGTCCTGGAATCCACCTTGTGGACCAAGCTGGCCTCAAACACACTGAGATCCGGCTGCCTCTGCCTTCCAAGTGCTGGGATTAAAGGTGTGCACCACCATTGCCCAGCTATGTGCAAATGTTTTGACTGCATACACGTGTGAGCACCATGTGCATGCTTACAGACAACAGAAGAGGGCATCAGATGCCTTGGAAGTGGAGCTAGACATGAATGTGAGCTGCCGTGTAGGTGCTAAGAACTGCTGCAGTCAGGGACCACCTCCTCAGCCACTTCCCCAATTATGAACTGTTTCTATTGACATGAAAACTATTCATTATTGCTTTTTATCATTTTTGGGCTATTTTTTTTTTTTTTTTTTTTTTGGTCCTTTTGAGACAGGTTTCTCTGTGTAACCTCCCTGGCTCTGGAATTTGCTTTGTAAACCAGGTTGGCCTCGGACTTGTGAATGCTGGGATTAAAAGCGTGTACCACCACTGCCCAGCTTTCTCTTTCTTTTCAATTACAGAAAAATATTTTTGAGACATGGTCTCACTTTGTAGACCAGATTGGCCTGCCCTGGAACTCAATGTGTGTCACCAGACTGGCTTTGAACTAGCCTCAGCCACTCGAGAATGGGACCAGTGTGTGACACCATGTTCTGTACACTTCTAAATTGTTTAGCAAATTAGTAATTCATTCCTTTTCCCAACGCTGAAGCCAAAAATCTCTGGATTTTCTTCGCTTAAACCTCACCAACA